TTTTCCCCCCATTTCCCTTTTTCCATTTCAGGATTTTCCATCGTAGATTCAATTCCAGATTCCCACCAAAACCCCTCAAAAAATCCCAAATAAATTCCCTTTTTCTGAAAATTCCCTCCCCATCAAAAAAGGGACTTTCTGGCTTCTTTTTCCCCCAAAATTTCCATTTTTGGGGTCGTTTTATTGAGGGGTCTTTGGTGAAATCGAAGTGCAAAAAACCAGCAAAGGGCTCGGGGCCAGACTGGGAGCACTGGGAGTGCACTGGGACCATACTGGGAGCACTGGGAGTGCGCTGGGAGTGCACTGGGGCCTCACTGGGTCTATAATGGGAGTACTGGGCCCTTACTGGGAGCACTGGGAGTACACTGGGACCTTACTGGGACCTTGCTGGGTCTATACTGGGAGCACTGGGCCCATACTGGGAGCACTGGGAGTGCACTGGAGCCTCGCTGGATCCATACTGGGAGCACTGGGAGTGCGCTGGGGCCTCGCTGGGTCTATACTGGGAGCACTGGGCCCTTACTGGGAGCACTGGGAGTGCACTGGGAGTGCACTGGAGCCTCACCAGTCTGTACTGGGAATGCTGGGCTTTTACTGGGAACACTGGGAGTGCGCTGGGACCTTGCTGGGTCTATACTGGGAGCACTGGGCCCTTACTGGGAGCACTGGGAGTGCTGGATCCTTACTGGGAGCCACACCGGGGCATACTGGGAGTGCACTGGAGCCTCGCTGGGTCTATACTGGGAGTACTGGGCCCATACTGGGAGCACTGGGAGTGCGCTGGGGCCTCGCTGGGTCTATACTGGGAGCACTGGGCCCATACTGGGAGCACTGGGAGTGCACTGGAGCCTCACTGGTCTATACTGGGAGTGCACTAGGGCAGCTGCAGCTCAGGCCAGTGTCAGACTGGGAGCGCTGGATTCTATACTGGGATTACTGGGCCCATACTGGGATAACTGGGCCATACTGGGATTGCTGGGCCATACTGGGAGCCGCACTGGCAGCACTGGGACTGTGGCTGTACCAGTCCATACTGGTCCGTACTGGTCCATGCTGATCCATTCTGATCCATACTGGTCCGTACTGGTCCATACTGGCCCATACCGGTCCATTCTGATCCATACTGGTCCATTCTGATCCATACTGGTCCATTCTGGTCCATACTGGTCCGTACTGGTCCATACTGGTCCGTACTGGTCCATACTGGTCCATACTGGTCCACACTGGTCCGTACTGGTGGCTCAGGGCTCCGGGGGGTCCCCGTCC